TTGAATAAGATTTAATAATAGTAATAAATTGAAATACATTCTGATAATCTGAAATCATCTGTCGTAAACTTGAATAAGATTTAATAATAGTAATAAATTGAAATACATTCTGATAATCTGAAATCATCTGTCGTAAACTTGAATAAGATTTAATAATAGTAATAAATTGAAATACATTCTGATAATCTGAAATCATCTGTCGTAAACTTGAATAAGATTTAATAATAGTAATAAATTGAAATACATTGTAATAATCTGAAATAATCTGTCATAAACTTGAATAAGATGCAATAATTGTAATAAACTAATAAATTAAAATAACCTGTAAAAAACTGATAAATTCTGATAATCTGAAATCATCTGTCGTAAACTTGAATAAGATTTAATAATAGTAATAAATTGAAATACATTGTAATAATCTGAAATAATCTGTCGTAAACTTGAATAAGATGTAATAATTGTAATAAACTGTAATACATTGTAACAATCTGTAATAAACTGTAATACTATACTATTATTATTATTATTCTGAAATAAGTAAGCTAAACAAAACAAAAAGGATTGTTTCGTTGTTAAAAAGTTTCCTTCACCTTTGTTCCTGTGTATTTCTGGTATCCCACCAATAGAGGTGATCCTCTGGAGCTCTTGTGTTTTCGCCTGATTAGAAGCTTCTAGTTGGACCCTCCCAGGCTCCAGACTAAGGAGGGTTGAGCTCTCTGCTGCACGACACTGCAGCTGGTAAATATGTTTGTCTGAAGTATCTACAGTATAATCTGAGTAGGATTCTGAGGGAAAAGAGAAAAACAAACAGCACAACAGGATCATATGAGATAACATCATAGAGTCTCAACTGGTTTTTCTTTGGTAGGTTTGAAACTGATGGTCTGCATATGGGCAAAAACAACTGCAGCCATCATTCTGTGCAAAATTTCATTTTAATCACAATAAACTTCACCACAGGTCCCATTATATTCTTAAAAAACAGACAGTATTTTAATGAGATGAAACTAGCTGGAAATCAGCATTCATCCTGTTTACCAGTGGTGGGCACAGTTCCCCTAAAAGCACTAATAGGGGAACTAATTGCCTGATTAGTGCTTTAGGGCTTTTGCTTATTTTAAAATTTATTAGTGGATTAGCACTTGCTAAATTTATAGGCTAAATTTAGAAGCACTAACTGAGGCCTATAAATATTATTGATCAACATTAATGTTAACAGCTGAGGGTGAAAGCTGTCACACATTTTGTTCATTGATTGTTTAGATTAAAAAAATCAGTAACATATGTCATATAGGGGACAAACAGTGATATTTGAGAAGTGAAATGTAGTTTTATATGATTTACAGAAAGTGTGCAATAATTGGTTAAACAAAATTAGGCAGGTGCATAAATTTGGGCACTGTTGTCATTTTATTGATTTCAAGAACTTTAGAACTAATTTTTGGAACTTAAATTTGGTTTGGTAAGTTCAATGACCCTTGACCTCCATACACAGGTGACTCCAATTACGAGAAAGGGTATTTAAAGAGTAACTTACCCCAAAATTAACTTTTTTTAGCTGATAAACTGTCTAGAATGTGTC